CGTAGTGTGTTACGAACTGACCTTTCTGTTTTGCTTTTAATTCTGTTAAATAAATTTGTATATTTTAATTCAAAATAATTTTTTGTTTAACGCTACTCAAACGTTAAATATCACGTCGCGAATGCAAGTACGCGTAAAGTCCCCTGACGAAGGTTGATCGATTAAAATGGAGTGTATTGCATGAATTGCTGGACACTAGTGATTTTGTATGTATCACTTCTATCAAGAGACTTTGGAATCTCGAGAGAATTTAGCTCATGGCTAGTAGAGTTCAAGTTATTTATTTTCGGTAATATTCGCAACCGACTATCAGAGGTGTAGTTATCTCTCTGCACGCAATACACACAAGTTTGTTAAATAAATGATAGCTGTTTATAACAGATAAGAGCTTCCTTATCTTCCAAATTGTAATTAATTCTCAAATTATTTAAAAATGTTCGTTACCTACTAGAGAGAATAATTTTAGTCTGTTGTGAAATATTGTTTGGATATCATAAAACTGTTTTGTGGAAAAAGGTGATTCCCAGGATCTCTTCAGAGTTTGAATTTTATTAGACGTTCACATGTCTAGTCAAAAGTGAATTCACTAATAAGTTCAAGTAATTCAAGGTATATGAGACGAGTGACATCAAAATGCCGTGGATAATTCTATAGGCAATTTTTTGTGCGGTTATAACTATGCTCAAAATATATAATTATATGTTAAAAGAACAACTTTCATTATTGATACGAGTATTGCTCACAACGAGCACTCCATGTTATGGTTCTATCGTGGTGATTGAAAACGCGATTAGAAAAATATGATAAAGATCGACGCGAAGTACATCATTTTTAAATATCATTTTATGTTGTCATGCAACATTTTAAATATCCTACATTTATATTCTCTTTTTACATATTTTTAATAAAATCTTAATTCCGTATAATTAAAAATTTTTTTTTATATGTAACATAACTTTTTCCTTTTAATCGTTGCTTAAATTCTCAAATTTAACACATTTTAATAGAGAAATATATATAATAACGAAGATGGACGACATTTTATTTTAAAGATTATTTTATAATTTATATTACTATGTTTTGCATATCATATTTATGTTTTGTATTAATACAGTTTTTACTTTCGAATTCGGAATTTTATATTTAAATTTATAATACACGTAGTGTCTGACACAGACCGACATTTTCTTTTCACTTTCGATCATCGCTAAACAAGTTTATACATATATTATATTTTAACTCAACAAATAACTGTTTAAGGTCGCCGAAACATTAAATACTGTCTCGCAAAAAGAGCCCTTTAATAAGAATTGATGGATCAAAGTCAAATATCGCACGAGACGCTGAATATTTGTAACTTTGGATGCATCACTTTTATTCATGGATTTGGAACTTGGAGAACCTGGAGAGACCTCAGAGCGAAGTGGTTGGTATAGACATTTTACGTTATTTACTACGATATATTTGATAACACATGTGTGATATATTTATGATATTAATGAATTATGCATTATGAAAATGTATAACAATTATGAAATCATTAAATTAGCGAGTTTATACTTTGCTTTCGCCTTTAACATTTACCAAATTTCGTTGCAAATTTAATCGATACACAAATAATAGAGAAATAAATGTGAATAAAAAACACGCATTTGTATCTACAAATTCCAAAAGTTTCCTGAAAAGCTGATATATTATATAAGCAGTGTGAAAAAAAGAGAAGTTTTTTTTTCTTTTATAAACGGGATATTCATACTTGGAATAACATTGATATAATTTGATGTTTGATATGAAACACTCGTACGTTTAATATTGGTTATAATAAATTATAAATTTAATAATCCATTTTACAATATAGAACCGTTTTCTACGAAACACTGAATACCGCCTCGCCAAAAGTTCTCATCAAAGAACTCTTTGATGGATCGAAAGTCAAATATCACCTGAGACGCTGCATATTTGTAACTTTGGATGCATCACTTTTATTCGTGGTCTTCGAACTTGGGGAAGAACCTGGAGAGATCTCAGAGCGCAGTGGTTAGTATAGAAAATAAGTTTTATGCAACTGTTTCAGTATCATTAAATAATTGAATGTCGGGAAATGAGAAAATGGTGAATTTTTCTCCGTATATGACACAGAAACATGACATAGAAACATTGGTGCAATTTTTGCCAATTATAGCAACATTATCGTTCGCATCTAGAACGATCGCGTGCTATTTTTATTTGTATTTTTATTTTACCAATCTGCGCGCTGTGTTGCTTGGCATTATGTAGCGAATTTGTATGCATCGCTCGAATGCATCACGTACATTCGTGGCGGCCGCAAAACATACGCGTCGCGATGCCTGAACGTATTTAGCATAAACTGCGGTCAAATTGCGGAACCGCTCCGAGCGTAGTTTAGAGAGCTAAAATGTTATTAATCAGCATACGCAGGATCGGGAATTAATCATAACCAATCAATTAGATTAGGCGTGACACAGTCTTCTTTAAGTTATATCTAAATAGGTATCATGCAATTCTTTTCTAAATATTCGTCAAGCTATTAGTATCATATTTCTTGCTGTGTGAAAAATATTCTCGAGAAAAAACGGCCAAAAAAAACCTGAAATCACGTACGGCAAATATTATTGCTGTAGTTTCTGCGAGCCATATAAATTAATATTTTTATAATAATTAATATTTAGTATTTTAGTTTTATCTTAACGATAATACTGTACGTGTTAGTACGAGTCTTCTTTAACTGTAAACGACATAATATCTCTTCTTTTCCATCCCCAAATATTGCATCTTTATTTTCACATTTTTCACTTATCAATATATATGCATAAACTACATATAAACTATCGATCAATGAATTTATTTTAATTTAAAGGTCTGATTCTGGATAATTATTCTGAAATAGCCTACGCACCTACGTTAATAGGATCGCAAATTTGCCCTCGATTGATTTTATCAGCCGAATAATTAAAAGGGTGCAAATAACAGCCAACGCGCGGCAGCCAACGGAAAGGTGTTTGCCGCACGCTTTTCCGCATGTTTTTCTTTCTCGATTTCACATACGCCAATCTATGTCCTCGTTTAATCATTTGGTGTCGATACTATAGCCGATTCGAAATCGTGCTGGACAATTTCCGAAATATTCCACCGTTCGTTTCCTCTACTTCGCCATCGTTTCCTGTTCTTTTTTTCTTCTTCTTGAAGTCTACTCACAGGCTTCGGACATGGACACATCGTCCCAACTGGGAACCGGCGTGTTTGCGCGCTGCACCGACTAATATCGACCTGCTCCCTGACTGCTCCGCATGAGCAACACGTGCACCAGCTAACCGACCGACCAGTCAAGCAACCAGGTCAACGTCGAGCACGAAGTGTCACTTGGCACTTGTTCCAGATAAATAATCCATGCGTTTCCGTCACTATACGCGGTCAAGTCAGTTTCGATGACTTTGTCGGCCGGGCGACGTCGATGACTCCCTTCGGAGACACGAAAGACCAGATTGGAAGCAGGATGAAGCAGACTTACATACTTGTGCCATACATCGACAGTCACTTTTATCAGCTAGCGATATTAGTAAGATATTCCGTTATGTGCACTAGAAATCACCGATTCCTTCCCATATGAATCTAGGCACAGGTAGAACGCGCATACATTTTCCATCTATGTATATGCAAAATGTATAAATGTGTTGATATGTGCACAAATTCATGTGGTAAGTATAATAATTGAAAGACTTTGAGAGTCAATAATTCAAAGTGAGAACGAGAATTGTGCTAAACATGCAACAGAAATTTTTATTTACTCGCAATCAGATGCTAATACAAAATAAAATATCAATATGTTATATATTTCAATATTAAAATACTGAAATATTAATAAGACTGAGGCATCGAGAATGTAAGTACGCGTAAAGTGCTAATTACAGCATAAGATTCCAGACTCATGCAATTTTAAATGCATCGTCCGATTCTGTCAACAAACCTTAACGAACATCGAGCGATTTCAATGCTAAACACAGAAATCTCAATTACGGTATATTTGGTAAAAAATAGTATGTATAATTTTTAAAAATTAACAAATTATTTGACAGCCTGTAATCGCAGCATATAGTTGAACCAAGAAAAACCTAAATTACTGAAAAATCCCCGTTTTATATATCTAGATTAAAATTATCCTTGAAACCGTTCTTTATATTTTCATGAAAACTTTGTTTTATGCCAAAGCAAAGTTATCTGCGTTGACTTGTTATCTTAACGTTTTTAGGATCTCTTCACGATCTCTCTCAGCTTGAATTTCATTAGACATGAAATACTTGTAAACGCTCGATACTTCTAGCCTGAAATTTTGCTTGTGTGACCGCCCGTTTCTCATCGAAATTTGTTTTGTGTCGAATCAAAGTCGTACGTGTTGACTTGTTACCTTAGCATTTCCAACGTCTCTTCATAATCTCGTTCAGTTCGTATCTAACTAGACGTGTCGAGTCACGAGTGGATCAAACACAGTGATATAAAAATGAATACGGAAGATTTTCTTGCTGCGATATTTGATAGTGTACTAATTTTGGGTGTGATAATTATTCTTCTTATATTAATTGCATTGCCTGCACTGCGCGCCCGCGTAATAGAGATCGAAATAAGTGTTGTGGAAGTTCCTATTCTCTTTCTATTATTTATATTACTTGCAATACCTCTTCTGACGATCTGTATGATATTTTTGATAACTTATGTGACAATCTGTGAAATACTTCTTTATTATGTGTTTGGTGAACACTTGCGTGGATAACTAGAACATTTTTTTCTTGCATTGTAGAAGGAATACGTAGTCATGGGCTAATGCTTATTTTAATTATTTTCTCATATTAATATTAATAACATTTTCTTAATTCTTATATTTTTATTTCAATTTTCGTATAAATGTGCTAGTCTCTTTAAATGCAATTTTTATATAGTTTTAACTTACGACCTATTTTAAGTTTAAATTTGTGAATCACGTGTGACAACAAATTGCTCGTTTCCACTCTTCGTAAAACAAATTCTAATGTTCCAAAATATTCGCGTAATGCCGTTAACGATATCGCATCATAAATGTAAGAGTGCACAAAATACCTTGATCGATCGAAACTAAACGAGATGATGGAACTGATTATTTCATTTTGGATCTTCGATTCTATCACTAGACTTCGATGTATCTCCAGATATTTTAACGTGAGTAGAAAACATTCCAAATATTCAATTTTCAATTATTTCAGTGTATTGGGTAAATATGTAGTGTTAATATTAATGAATATTATAGAAATAAAATTTGAAAGACAAAGATCTGTCTTTGTCTAATGCTACAATTATTATAACTTGCAACTAGCAATCAAAAAATTTTTCGAAATAGTCGTAATCAACATTTTTCTAATATTCCTCTTTGCTACAATTTCAATGCAAATTGTTTTTCGTAGATAAGGCAAATGCAGAATTGCAAATTCAGTGATATTAAAGCATTATCGTTCATATTTGAAAAAACTCTCACATTATTTTTGTATCAACTTGCGCACTATGTTGTTCCATATATTATGTAGTGTATTCGTGTACGTCGCTCAAATGCATGTGGTCGCAAATGCCGCTGTGTGTATTTAGCATAAACTGCGGTCAAATTACCGGGATGTTGTGAACACAGTTTGGAGAGCTAAAGCATTATGCATCGGACACGATCGGGAATTAATGCCGCGCCGAAGACAGCCCTGTCAGAATAGTAAGAAGAGTAGAATGGATCGACAGTGTATATTCCCTACAAGTTAGTTCAAGATCCGTGCAACTTTCATTTCGATGGCTTCATCGATCTTTTAGATTTAAAAGAAAATTTCTTTTAAAAATCTTCAATATCATTATTATTTATCTAAACGTTTCTACAGACGTCTGAATAATAACGCTTTGTATATAATATTTAACTTGGTAAACAAGTACTTGCTTGACCGTCGACTGTTGTCTCACGTTTATTTTCAGAAAACTCTTCGCGAACGTTCTAATCGGGACAAAGGAACGAAAATAAAATTGTCGTTACTAATATAATATAATAACTGTTAATTAATCGGGCGTGATGTGATACAGGATTGTGTGTAACGTTGTAGATGATTCTATTCATTTCGAACATCCCTGTTACTTGCGTATTTATTTTCATCTGACATTTCGATTTAACAAACTTTATGCTTTCAGTGAATTTTGAATTTCGTTAGGGCAATTATATGTGAATGTTATAATCCTACTGCAGTATTAAATCAGGTTTGGATAAAGTGAGCGCGAACGAACACGAATGAATAATGTTTTAACAAGTGCCGGCTTTCATTTCATAGATCTGTCTTTTCTTTCGAAATATTCAATATCCTTGTGCCAATTTCTTTAATATCCTACTATCTTCAATAGTCTTGTATTAATTTCTTTAAACATTTAAAACATAACTTTTAAAAATTATTGCAAGCCAAACGTGATTGTGTCTAAACTTATACATACGGTAGAGATAATATTACAATGTTTAAAATTAAAGATTTCAAAGTCTAAAAGAACAAAATCACGTAATTAAAAAGAGAAAACGTATTCGCATTATTTATGGAATAGGGAAGAACTGAAAATTAAAACGTCAAATCGCCGAAATTACCTTTATTCGCAAATATCTTCTCAAACGTGAACCGTCAAGAGGACAAGTGTTATCCTCTTCGATATAGACGGTCTCGATTCAGAACGAACTGCTCATAAAAATATCGTCACGGCCCGTTCGCAAGTCTGGCGGAAAAACTGCTGTTATCAGAACTCGCTGCCAACTTTTTGCAGCTACGTATCCCGTTGAGATTAAAAATTCTGGGAAGAGAAAAAAGAGAACCCACCAACCCTGTGTATGGAAATCGCGAAATGTCCTCGGGTCATCGTCAAAACGGAGCAACCGCGCTTATCGCTCTGTCAAAACGATTCTAGCTCATCTCCTGCAAACGTAAATCTCTTACGCGAATCCTGCATACGAATTTACACGAATTAATCTTAGTTTTTATCAAACATCGAAAATCTTACATTATCAAGAAAAAAATATGAATAGTGATTAAAAGTAAAGATTTCCATTTTTAATACTTGTTTTAAGTTGAATATTAATAATGTTTTAGAAAGTAATTTATACATAAAGATAAAGAAAATATTTAAATTATGATATATAAAGAGAGTATTGTATTTGTAAATAATTAGATGTAAAAATTATTATTGTACCAACAGCTCCGGAAATATTCTTAGTCTTTCCTTTGCTATGGACGAGCACGAACTTTCTGATTTTACGTAATTTTATTTATAGTATCCTCCTCGATCTATCTTGCATAAAATTCTATAGTTTACAAGCTATAGGAAAGCATGTGCTAATAATGGCACAACTCAACTTAATCGCTAACGTAAAGATACATAAAGATTTATGTATGTATCGCATTTCTTTAATTCATATATTCGGTCTTCTTGTAAAACGTTGCCGAATATTTACAGCATAAAATATAAAAAATATTTTATTTAAAGAAATTATGGCAGGTTAGGCTTTTCAGGTTTCACATTTCGCGTTGCTTCTAAAAGAGAAGTCATTCGTCCGATATGGTTGTTTGAATGATTCGTCTGAAATGATCATCAACCGTGTAAAACCGGCCTGAACATAGGACGCGATCGTCCGACAATCGATCTCGTCGCGAAACAGCTCGACTGAAAAAAAATTCGCGATAAAGTAAATTTAGTAAATGATTTTTCGGTTCAATCGCTACAAACGGCCGATCGCGTATGTCTATGATAAGCTCGATGCTCCAATTTTCCTTTAGATCTCGTGGTTGAGAGAAAAGAGAAGCTGTTTATTTCCGAGACAGATTTTTTTGTTAGAGCTATTCGTGTGTCAAATCTAAACGAAAAGTTTCGATAAAATTGTTAAAATTGGAAACTTGAAAACAAATTTTTGCTGCGTTTCACATTCCCATGAAAAATTGAATTGAAAATGAACAAATATGGCATTTCAGTACAATCCTGATCGCAAATATGTAAGTAAATCAAATCTTATTTGGCATTTTTAGAGAGAAAATTTTAATTTTATTTCGTAAACATTATCCGGACACAAACACAGAAATGGAAATCCAATATTCGAAAAGTAAAGCTAGAGAGAGAATAATTAATTACAAGAGTGAGGCTTTAATTAGAATTATTTTATTTATGCATATTTATAAGATCATTTATTTCCCATTTACAATTTATCTGATCCACAGAAAAAAAAGTTGGATTGATTCTCTCAAAGAGAATATTTTGGAAAACAATATTAATTATGATACATTTATTCGAAAAATATATTTTACTGAAAATTTCAACAATGCCAAACGAATGTTGTCAGGGATATCACATTTCACCATGTACATATTTACACGTTTCATTAGACCTTTCCATACGTAATTACGTTAAGAATATTATTTCAATCGTCAGTTATAAAAATTGATGTTTTAGACAAGTTTTATCACGAATCAGTGCAAGTCACGAGCAAGCGTATCACGAATATCTATGCTCTTCAGAAACATGACAAAAATATAAAAGGAAAAACATTCTTTCTACTAAAGATGTTCACAAACACGCACATATTCAAAGTGTGGGATGAAAACTTTGAGAGTTTTACCACAAGCCAAAGTGCATGTATCTAGTCTGAGTTGTTCAAGTGCTACGTTTTCTTGACCCGAAACCCCGAAAGAACTTTACGAACGCGTTGTGTATTTTACACTTCTATTTCCTGTTATCTTTTATCTTTAACTTAATATTGTATTTTTATTTCTGTCGGGGCCCTTCATGTCTAGTCTAAATTATTCAAGAACCGTGTTCTTGACCCGAAACCCCGGAAGAATTTCGCAAATGCATTGTATATTTTATATTTGCCTAGTTCCTTTTGGCTTCCATTTTTATAACATGGTAGTGCATTTTTATCTCTTTGCCCGGATGCTGCATGTCATGAATATGAATATCACGTAAATTACATCGCACTTTAACTGAATCCGAATGCTGCGCGATTCGAAATTATAACCAATTGTAAAGTTTTAATTTTTGTTATTTATGTAAAACCGAGTTCTTGCGCTGCTAAGCCTGCTAATACCTTTTTGCCCGCGATACGACCACGAGGGCGTATCCACTGTAATATTTTTAGATTAGAGTTGTTGGAGTTTTTATGCATTGCAGCGGGGGTAATATTTTATCGATTTTATTATCCGACTTGAGGGAGAACGAATCCAGCAATCGTTAATTTTAAGCTGCACACTATCGAAATGGAACCACTGCCCCTCCGCGGACATAAATCATTTCTTTATTCGTATAGAAGACTAATATTTTTGTGATACTTGAAACATATAAACTTATTGGGTATGTGCATGTATAAGGAAAATAATAAAGCTTATTATTACTTTCGAGAGGAATATATTCGATAAGAATTCATTTTTAACTTAGAATAACGCTGAAATTAAAAAGCACTCTCATAATAGACAACTATTTCCAGCCTTGTGAGACTATAAATGGCTCGGTAGCGAGATAAGCGCATAATATACATCTCCGCCGGACAATTATACGTAACTGTAAGAGTGATGCATTTAATAATAAGTAATTAATAATAATAGGCTAAAAATAAACCAGACGCCTAAGAATAACGACATGGAAACAAGTAAACAAGTAACTTGTGCCTATATAACATGTATAACGTGTGGATTTGATGCGAAATCTTTTTTAATCGAGTCTAATCTGTGCGATGAAAAGAAATGCAGTACAAGTAATGTTAAAACTGCATCTGCGCGAAAACTGCAAGAGCACATGAAATAATTGAAAGTGATTCCGTTATCTGCATACTAGTGTTTATGGGTGCAAAAGTTTTTTTTCAACGTGATATCTATGAAAAATGTTTTATGCATTTCATTGAGACGAGGGATTTATCGGTACATGCACACACTTTCCAATGCAATAAGAGTTATATGGTCCAAGCTATATTCATGATTCGTATAAAGTACACATAAGGGAGCTCGCAGAAAGAGCTCTTTTTCATGTATTGTGAGTTTGTCAGAGATATTCGCAAAAATGCAATAGTAACAGACGGGATGGACGAGCAGACGTGGATTAAGCTAGATCGTGTTAGGTAATAAGAAATCTCTAACTATTAATACAGATGTGACAGACGTAGGACGGATAAACGATCC